GGAAGCAGGTTTCTGGAGTTTGTTTAGCTTCTATATTTGTAACAATGTTTCAAACTGCAAGCTCGGAGGCCGGCAGCGGCAGGCAGGAAACGTTGGAGTTCTCCGTCACTGGAGCAAGCAAGCCTCATGTTGGCTTCAAGCTGCTTGGCTGCCAGCCGCCATCTTGGCTGGCGGTTAATTTGCATATCTCGCTGATTAGCCAATGGAAAGGGTAGGGGAGGTACGGCTAATTACCATGTTTCTCTTTTATTAGATAGGATACTGCCATTGAAATTAATGAGATTTGTTTTACTTGGATTAGGCAACTGGGAAAACTTGAGTTAATGTTCCCTTTTAGGATTAATAAATGTACCTTTATAAATTTAGGGATTATTTTTAAAAGTGTTTGTGAGAGAGAGGAAGGTAGAGGGAGAGAGAAACACCAATGTGAGAGCCAGACACCCACTGGCTGCCTCCCCGCTACCAGGGAATCAGCCCTGAGGCCTGTGCCCTGACTGGGAATTGAACCAGCAACTTTTCAGTGCATAGGACGATGCCCAACCAATTGAACCACACTGGCCAGGGCTAAATTTGGGGATTTTTCTTTTTTACTATATTTTTATTGATTTCAGAGAGGAAGAGAGAGGGAAATATAGAAACTTCAATGATGAGAATCACCGATCAACTGCCTCCTGCATGCCCCCTTTTGGGGTTCGAGCGTGTATCCCAGGCATGTGCCCTTGATCGGAATTGAACCCAGGACCCTTTAGTCTGTAGGCAGATGCTCTATCCCCTGAGCCAAACCAGCTAGGGCTAAATTTGGGGATTTTTTTTTTTAATTTTAATTTTTTTAAAATAAATTTGGGGATTTTTAAAGTAACTTTTAGTTACTTAAATTGACAGTATTCTTTTTGTTTTTTAAAAAATATGTTTTTTTATTGATGAGAGAGAGAGAGAGATAACGAGATAAAGAAACATCAATAGGTTGCCTCCTGTACTTGCCCCTACCAGGGATTGAGCCCAAAACTTGGGTATGTGCCCTGATTGGGACTCAAACCTATGACCCTTCAGGTGCACAGGTCAAGGACACTCCAACCAACTGATCCACACTGGTCAGGGCAATGGAGTTTACATTTTAATCAGAGGATGCCGATAATAAATAAGTGAAGCGCATTTTATCAGTTTGTGGTATGTGCTGGGGTTGGGGGTGGGGCAGGAAAGGGGATAAGAAGTGCGTGGAGGTAGGGATGGGGTTTGCAGTTTTAAATCTGTTGATTCTAGAAGCCTTAATTGAAAAAGGCGATATTTCAGAAGAGATCTGAAAGAGATGGAAGCAAATGCAAAGATCCAGAAGTGGAAGCTTGCTTGTTATTTTGATATATATCTAGGCCAGGGATACAGGTGACAGGTGACGTGTAGTGAGGAGAGGAAGATGAAATCAAAGTCCAGGCCTTGTGGGGCCTTGTAATGAGTTGGCTTTTAACTGAGTGAGATTGGAATCCACTGGAAAGCTTGGAACCAAGGATCGCTCTGCACCTAAGTGGAAAATAAGTAATGTGAGGGCAAGGGCAGATGGGAGCTCAGTTAGGTGTTAGCTCTCCAGATGAGAAAGACACTGGCTTGGACCTGGTGGATGCAGTGAAGTTGTTGAGATATCAGGTTTTAGATGTATTTTGAAGGTAGAACTACAGGATTTTGTTGACATAAAATGTGATTGAGAAAGAAAGAGAGCAGTCATGGATGACTCAGGAGTTTTTGACATAAGCAGCTGACAAGGTGGAGGTTGGAGGACACAGGCTTATGGAAGATCAGGAGTTTGAACACATAAATTTGGATGCCTTTCAGTTATCTATGAAGCTCCCTTTTATTTGTGAACTAATTTACACTATGTGTTTTAGTATGGCAACAATGTTTTTTGTGTGGTTATCCTTTGGTTTATGCAATACAGAATTTTAAGGGTGGATTATTTATTTATTTATTTATTTATTTATTTAGACTATTAACTGCATTATATAGAAGTATTTGAAAGCTAGCAGGTGCCTGTTTATTTCACATTAATTTTCACATAAAAACAGATTGATTCTTGCAAAAGTTACTTTCAGGAGATTAATTTGAAAACTTTAGGTGAAGAGGGGATGGATGCTTGGTCCACTGAATGTTGTAATATCACCATTCTAGAATCAGAAGGGATTTATTAAATGTGAGAAGGTAATTATTAAAACACTAGAGGCTTGGTGCATGAAATTTGTGCACAGGTGGGGTCCCTAGGCCTGGCCAGCAATTAGGACTGGCCGGAGGCTTCCTCCCCTGACCCTCCTCCAGCTGGCCTCACCTTCCTGCCAGTTGCCAGCTGCCAGGCAGGGCCTGCTGGAGTGGGGAAGGGACCACAGGAGGTTGGCTGAAATGGGGAGGGACCAGGGGAGGTTGGCCGGCCATAGGTTGGCTATGGGAGCGCACTGTCCACAAGGAGGCAGCTCCTGTGTTTAGTGCCTGCCCCCTGGTGGTCAGTGTGCATCATAGTGACCAGTTGTTCAGGTGTTCCGGTCGCTATGTTGCACACTGACCATATATATAGATTGAAATGTGTCATCTGCCTAAGATTAAAGTTTGACAGGTGTTGAGTGGTTGTGTCACTGATCCAGCACCTTTTTAATTTGATTTTTCTATGCCGCCTGCTCAGGCTGTTGTTCCCACCTAATAGTTTGATTTTCTTTTACTCCATTTTCAGCATTTCTTTTAGTACTCTCGTGGTGTTTCACCATACTGCTGCAATATCCCTTAGGAGATTCTTTTATAACTCGGGAATTCTTTGACTCAGCAGTTCTTTGAAGTTGTGGAAGCATAATTTCTGCTGGGGCTGACCAGCAGCCCCTGAACGATGGATGAACAGATTACTCAGACACAGTTTGACTGTGCAAGAGAGGGCCAAGGGGCCCCTGGCTTTAGTAGCCAGAACAGCCCCTATTGCCTGCCTTGTTAGGCCTTTCTTGGAATTTTTATCTTTAGATACAATCAGTAGGGTGAGTCATCTTGGGAGGACACATGTTTACATTGTCCTCTAGGCAAGGGCATCCAGGGATTAAGCGTAAGGATTCCAGTAAACACCCGGAGGGTCTGCATATGCACAGGCTTGTTTGGAAGGCCAAGGAACAATTAGGGGCGCCACCTTCGACACTTCCCTGTCGGAATTCCGATAAACAGGGCAGGCGGCCATCCACACACTTCCATTTTACCAGAATGTCCTCCTTACACTTTCCAACCAAGTCTCTTATGCTCCCCAACAAATTTCTCCACCATTTCTTTTTACTTGCATAATTTTTTTTGCAATATTACTTTTACAATATTGCACTTTATCTTAATACTACAGTTTCTAGTGTAAACATTTTCCTAATAAGTTGACCTCTTATCAGTTATATGTACATGTTTTAAATTCTGCATATTATAATATTTAGGATGAGTAATTTAATATTGGTATTTAGTCAGTTGATATTAATGATTGGAGCTCAGATTGAATGTAAGTTACAAATAGAAGATTTAATGACTATTTCTATGAGTGAAATATGAACAGTTATATCAAGACCAAGTTATTAAAACAAAATCGAGAGCTGAAGCAAATATGATTCAGGATATAGTAATTTATTGTTTGATTTTTTCAGGCATTAGATTTACTACTGGTCTATCTGATAATTCACTGACTTATTTTGAGACTTCTCCCAGACAAAATGAATGTAGTGTATTAATTTTTAATTCCATATTAGTCTGTCTTTTAAGGCTTAATTTTATGTATATATACCTTTTCTACCCCAAAATACTATTAATAGAGGCATTATCTGGCTTCTTTTGTCCCTACTCTATTAGCATGAAGTGTTGTTTTTGTCTGCTGTTGTGTATTTGTAAACCTTTTGTAATTTTATTGTTAGGAATTAATATTTAGGGATAAATGTAGTAAGTACCAGAAAATTTAGAGATATTAAAATTTGGTAACAGTATGTTTTTAGATATTAAATTGGGTTTCTGCTCCAAATTTTTCTTCTGCTCTGATGCTTTATATATAAATGAAATACACTATAAAAAGAGGCATTCATAATATGTAAGATTTATCTTTAAGAAATACTATAAATATCCTCATTGATAAGTCATTCATTTATTTTTCCTCCCAGTATTTAAAGAAGGTTCTGTAAGATATAAATAAAACTAAGACTTAGGAATGTCTTCTGGAAACAATATGGTAGATGAGTGAGTAAATAGAATTTAAGATAAAATATTAGTTTTTTGAGAGAGGCACAGAGTACTATCTGCAACTTTTAAAGACTTAGAGACAATGAGATTGAGGTAGTCCACGTGTCAGAAAAAATTGTAAAGCAATAATGAAATAAAGCACATAAATGGCAGCTTGGTGATATAAAATGGATAGTTATTAAATCTATTTTATCTGACTATAGCATGCATACCAAGAGAGTATTTAAGGCAAGTATGTAGAGTCGTCAAGGATGACTTAGGTCCTCCAAATTTGGCTGCAATTTTATTTTTCATCGTTTCCCAATGCAACATTTCTTTCCCCATCCCCACTTTTTCACCCACCTTTTGTTTTTTCCTGCAGCCAAATTGTGTCCCTTCAGGAAGGACATCCTCTCAGGCTTCATTTTATACTTGTACGTCTTCATAGGCAACTTTAACTAGGCTAGTCTTCACTGTTCATCTTCATTTTGAAATGTTTTAGGTCCTAAAATATAGTGTTTGTTTTATTTGTTAATTCTGCAGATTGTCATCTCTTTAAAGGGCAGAATCATCCTGATAGGCTCTGAATTCTGAGGACAATGACTATGCTTGTCTTGTTCGCCAATGTATCTTTAACATCTGCCATAGTACTGTGGTACATAGCAGTTATTCAGAAACATATTTAGCTGACTGGAGAAATAACTTTATAATACATTGGTCTTCATAGGATACATAGAGCATGAATTAGTTAGCCTGAATCCATTTTTGGCTGGTTTAAAAAGTTGATTCATATCCAAAAAATTTAGATTCAAAACTTTTTTCCTGATAAATACTATATTTCTCCTATTTATTTTTGAATATACAGATGTAGTTTATTGCTGGATTTTCCTTTTTTTGTTTTGTTATTTTTCATAGGTAACAAGTATTCTCTATGAAATGAAGTGAGGATTATTAGTTTTAACTGGGCCTTTTGACAGTTAACTTGACTATTTGTATTTTTTAGAGTGCTTGTCCTAATTGGTTTCATTTAATGTTGTATTATACAGTTCAGTCTTTGTATAACTTTTGTACAAGATAGCCATCTCATTTTTGTTAATTAGCATTTTATTATAAAATTTAAAACATACATATTAATTTAATAGCATAGTAGTAATTCCAGTGGTAAGGAGAATGAAGAAATCATAAATAGTTAATCTTAGAATTTTAGCAGTATTTGTCTTTAGTTAATCCAGTGTGAAATACAACTGTATTTTTTCGAAATGAATCACAGCTAAATATTTTTATCATATCATTCCTTTCCTCTTCCTTCCCTTAAACTTGCTCCCTTCTGTGTCCCCTGTGTACCCATTCCCTGCAGCGATCCCTGCTGGCTATGGTGGAGATTGATGTGCTGTGAATTTCATAATCACCCAAATGAGTACCAGAGGAGTCTAAGAAACCTTGGCAACTGGCTACTTGCTTTCACCAGGAATAGGGACCTTTTGTCTGAAATTTCCTGCCCTCAGGTAATAATTCTATTCCCCACGGTTTTGTTTTCTTTCAATAAATGTGAGCACTTATGCCCATCTCAAAGATACTTAGAGAGCAATTTCTTATTATTTTAGTCAGATACCAATTGCATTAAAAAAACCCCCAAAAAAACACAGCAGCGATGTAGCTACAGGCTCGTGCAATTCCTCTCTTAGAATATCTTTTCTAATATATAAGGTTTGGCAGTGCATTTATAATCGGCTCTTTCTGATGTTGCCAAAAGAAGAGTTTTATAATTTAGAGTCAGATACTTGGAAATAGTAATTAGCATTCTTTAATGGGTAAGTCTTCATAGTCTGTTTAATTAATGAGGTATGAAGGCTCTTTTGATAAAGAAAATGTTTTGATCAATTCTCTTACTGAAGGATTTAAGAGTTTATTTTGTCTACTTAATGTTCATTATATTCTTTATTAAGGAGATTGAAATAACTCATGAGCAGCAGTGAAAACAGGTTTCATTTTTGAAGAATATAAGGGCTCCCCACCCCATTCTTTTTCTCCTCCGCCCTGTTCCTTTCTAAAAATTCATTATCAGAGAAAGCAATTACGTTAAAAAACCAGATTCATGTGGAAATGGCGCTGAATTTCTTTCAATTTAGGGTTCTATGAAAATCCTAGAAATTCAATATCAATGACTACTTCTAATGCTTGGAAAATATATCCACATAAATATTTTGAACCTATTCTAAAAATCTAGTAAGAAATTGATACTTAAAGAATAGCCATGTGTGGAATTGTGCAACTCATTATATACATACCCTATTAGTAATGGGACAGTTGATAAACTTGTTGGCCATATGTTAGCTAGCAATTGTATAGCTTTGATGATAAGTACTGTTTTTCAATATTCTTGTCTGCCTTGATTCCATACTATCATTTCGGTATCTGGGTCTCATAATTGCCCAGAGAGCTATGCCATGCTTTAACCTTACTTAGGTAGACCATTAGTGAAAACTTTGAGATTCTCTCTAGGATATTGATGGTTAAGAACTTGTTTATAATGGCTTTCAAAGATAGTTCTGATTTTGTATATACCTACCTCTAGCAAACCCACTGGGACCTTTGCTCCTGAAGTATAGTCATAACTGTAATCCTCTGCTTTTTCTAGATTGCACCTCCTTACCTATCTTTTTTGGCCTGGCTTGTACTAAGCCTGTTGAGATGTGGTGTTATGATTTCTTTCTGAGTTTAAACCACAGCTATTCATGAGTTTATTCAAGTTACCTATCAAGCTTAATTACTTGGTAATTTCTTTACCTTCTCATTTTAATCAGTTATGATTCCTTTATACTTAAATAATTCTTGAATTTATGTTCTTTCTCCTGAACCTAGCACAGAGCCGACTTCTTGGCATAAAGTAGATATCAGCAATATTTGAATATCTCTGTTGTCACTACTCAGATTTAACTCATAATTTCTTGCATCAGTTATTGCAACTAAGTATTTTCGTTCCCTTCTGTTCTCATATTTCATTTTTCATCCTTGGCACTGTTACCAGAGAGATCTTTCCAAAATGCTAATCTTATTTTATTTCCTGATAAAAACTAGGATTTTTGTCCAAAACATATTAAAATAGAATGTCACTGCATAAAATAGACAAAAGTAGAATCCCTCTAGTTGAGTTAGTAATTGGGTCAGCTGTCATAGCCTTTCCCTTTTTACTTCTTCCACCTGCGTTGAATCATGAGCAATTTTCTGAAGTGGCACTTTGGGAACAATACTAAAGTGGAGGATGAAACACACATTTCTTGACATGGGATAACAAAGAGTCTTTCATGCTCTGGCTTCAGTCCATCTTTCAAGGCTTATCATTTCTTTCCAAACTACCTGATGCCTTGTACTTCATCTTTGCTTACTGTATGTGAGCCTTGAATGTGCTGCTGCTTTGCTTGAAATGTCCTTACTCTTATTCTTAAAAACTCTTACTCTTAAAACAGCTCAAGTGCTGCCTCCTCCTTGAAGCCTTCCTAAAACAGTATTCTTTAAAAAATTTTTTTTTATTGATTCAGAGAGAAAGGAAGAGGGAGAGAGAGATAGGAACATAAATGATGAGAGAATCATTGATCGGCTGCCTCCTGCACACCTCCCACTGGAGATTAAGTCTACAACCTGGGCATGTGCCCTGCCCAGGAATTGAATCATGACCTCCTGATTTATAGGTCATTGCTCAACCACTGAGCCATGCCGGCCGAGCGCAAAACAGTATTCTTTCTAACATAATTGATCACCTCTTCCCTTATCCCTACTTCTTATCCTATTTCATTTTTATGGTAATATCTGTCACACAGTGCCTGGCACATAGTAAGAACTTAATGTACTGCGATAATTTGTTTCTGTGCTTGTCTCTAGTGATAAACTCTGATGTCTTTGAAAGCAGTAATTACGCCTTATTATCTAAGTTGCCCAAGAGCCTAATCAGCACTCAGTTTTTGCCATGAAGGATGTATGTGTCAGATCTTCCAATGTTTCAAAAATTCAGAAACCCAGATTTCAATTTAAAAGGTTCATCCATTTAAAAAAATGTTTTTATTGATTTCAGAGAGAGAGAGAGAGAGAGAAATATCACTATGAGAGAGAAGTATCGATCGGTTGCCTCCCACATGCACCCTGACCAGAGATCAAACATGCCACCTGGTTATGTGTCCTGATCAGGAATCAAACCGGCAACTTTTCGGTGCATGGGATGACGCTCAACCAAATGAGTCACATTGGCCAGGGCAAAGGTCCACCCATTTTAAATGTTAGCCACAAAATCAGGTTTTTTAAAGCACACTATGCAGGCCAGACAAAACATATCTCTGGGTAAAGCATAGCTAACAGCCTACCAATTTTCAACCTCTTCCATTCTTTACATGTTTTTGTGGAAAAACTGGTTAGATAAGATTTGATTCTTTACATGCATATTGCAAAACTACCCAAGCCAAACAAAATCTGTAAATTGAGAATGTTAAAAGAAAGGTAATTTATTATGTGTGTACCTTCCTTGATCCTTGTTCCATTGTAGGTTTCATAGTAATAATACTTAGGCCTTAAATATTTAATAAGCCTCACAAATTGAGATTGAGGGTGAAAATTGCCATGTACTCCTATAGTGCCTAGTAAATGTTCAGTTGCACTGAAATTTGATCAGTATGATAATGGAAGGGTAATTGATGCTAAAATATTGTTGAATTGAAAATTGGTCAGTATGATAATGGAATTTAACTAAAGACAGAGGGTCGTTTTCAGGCTGGCGGATGACTGAAGCCCCCAACCTGTCCTTTTTTTCTTTTTATTCTGGGCCAGCTTTAGCTCTGAGGCTTGGCTCCAGCTCTGAGGCCTCGGCTGCTGAAAGCAGGTATCTGGTTTGTTTGGGTTCTATAATCGAAACACTGTTTCAACTCCAGCTCTGAGATCCCGGCTGGTGAAAGCAGGTTTCTGGGCTTTTGTTTAGCTTCTATATTTGTAACAATGTTTCAAACTGCAAGCTCAGAGGCCGGCAAGGCAGGCGGGGAATGTTGGAGTCCTCCGTCACTGAAACAAGCAAGCTTCCTGTTCGCTTCAAGCTGCCTGGCTGCCGGCTGCCATATTGGCTGGCAGTTAATTTGCATATCTCGCTGATTAGCCAATGGGAAGGGTAGCGGAGGTACGGCTAATTACCATGTTTCTCTATTATTAGATAGGATATTTTATTTTGCTTAGATTAGTTTGCATTTTCCAGAATTTTATATAAATGATCATATAGTATACTTTTTTCCTCCAGCCTCTTCTTGCAGCATAATTATTTTACAATTAATCTATTTTGGTTTTATGCATTCTATATTATTGCTGTGTATATTCCACTGTGGATATATCATAACTTGTTGCTGCTCATCTGTTGACCGTCATTTGGATTATTTCTAGTTTTTAGCTATTAAAATTAAGCTGCTGTGAACATTCATGTCTAATTCTTAGTGAGGACATATGCTTTTCATTTCTCTTGGGTAAATATCTAGTAGAATGGTTGGGTTATGTGTGGGTACATATAAATAACTTTTTAAGAAACTACTAAACAGCTTTTCAAATGACTCCAGTGTACATTTTATATTCTCACTAGCAAGTATATGAGAATTCCACTTGCTTCATAGCTTTAACAACAGTCAGTATCATTCCTTTCTCCCCCTGCCCCCTCTCCTGATGATGTGTTCATTGATTTTAGAGAAAGAGGAAGGGAGAGAGACAGAGAAGATACATAGATGTGATTGGTTGCCTCCCATACCATTCATCCCAACCAGGGATTGAACCCACAACCTTTTGGTATATGGGATGATGCTCCAACCAACTGAGTCACCAGGCTGAGCTGTATGGTCAGTCTTTTTAATTTTACTCATTTTAGTGGGTAAGTCAGTGGTTCTCAACCTTCCTAATGCTGTGACCCTTTAATACAGTTCCTCATGTTGTGGTGACCCCAACCATAAAGTTATTTTCGTTGCTACTTCATAAGTGTAATTTTGCTACTGTTATGAATCATAATGTAAATATCTGCTATGCAGGATGTATTTTCATTGTTACAAATTGAACATAATTAAAGCATAGTGATTAATCACAAAACAATATGTAATTATATATTGTGAAATATTTATTTCTAATTACAAATAAATGAAATTTTGTCTTGAAGCATGGTGTAGCATGGGTAACAGTCTTAATATAACAACAGTAAACTACATTGCTGCATTTTACGACAGTATGCGTAAAAAGCCAACATCAGTGCGAAGGTTGAGATTGCTTCTTTTTCACCAGTTCAGAAATTCTCAGGGCAGTCTTTGCAAGAGCACAGCGAAGATCATCTTCCACAACAAGTCTACTTCTGTATTTAGACTTGATAACCAACAAGCTGGAAAACCCTGTTTCACAAAGATAAGTTGTTGGGAATGGAAGAAGGCACAACAGAGTCTCAGACAGAACAGGATATGACTGCAAACACTTGATCCAGAATTTTGTAACTGGCATTGTAGAGAAATCAGTTCTCACTGCATTGTTGTTAATAAGTTCAATGAACACCTCTTGTGCTGTCTCAGGAACATCTTCAACTTTGACTGTGAATGGGCTTCTGGCAAGTGCAAATAGGGTGTCAGATTTGGAAAGTATGATGAAATTCCATCTGCAAGCATGTGCAAGTGTTCTTTCACAGAAATTATCATCATAATCCTTTTGTCTGGTTCAATGTCATGTTCCTCAAAGAAAGCAGATAAGGTAGGCAAGATGTAAATTTTATTTTCATCCGTTTTTTTGTTTGTTTGTTTGTTTTTTTGCCAAAGCTGAAGTTTCATTTGGAATGATTGGATCTTTTCAGACAAATCGAGGCATGTTACATTTGGTCCTTACAGTGATAAATTTAACTCATTCAAAATGGCAAAGATGTCAACCAAGTAAGCTATTTACTGCAGTTCACTTTTATCGCCCAAAAGTGCTTCGAACTGTAGTCTTGCTTTCTGATTAAAAAACATTTTGAGTTCATCACAAAGCTCAAAAACACATTTTAAAATTTTTCCTCTCGATAACCATCTCGCTTCAGTGTGAAATAGCAGCTCATCCAACTCGTTACACAGTTGCAAAAACAGTCAATTATTTAAAGTGCTTGCCTTTACAAAATTGACACAACTTATGATGCTTTTCATTACTTCTTGTAACTCTTGTGGCAGCGTCTTCGTTCCTAATATTTGCCGATGAATATACAGTGCGTTCCAATGACTTTTGGTGACTCATTCAGTACCAAACGTTAAAATCCAGATCGACATCCTAGCATAGCTGGAACACCATCTGTGTAAACACCACAAACCTTTTCCCAAGAGATCTTATGCTTTTTCAGAAATGAACCAACTGTGTCAAATGCATCACGTGCAGTAGTTGTTGTTTCAAGAGATTT